TACTCTTTCTTGTTGCTTCTGACGGTGGCGCCGCAACGCAAAAATTGATTGCAACAGGCACAGCGGATCGGGGTTTTGTTTTTTGTTTTTTTTACTGCACTCAGTCGTTACTGTGTGTTATCCGACAGTTTCGGTTATCCGAAGTTCTGCCGACCCGTTTATGTCGGATAAGCGAGACTCTACTGTATTGAGGCAAGAATGAAACACACAGCCCTGAAAAGTTTTTACAGCTGCCCTGATGGAGTTCTGTCTGTAGATGGAAGCTTTGTTGCTGATTTTTTGGGATTTCCTCTTAGCTGGCTTTGTTTCTCAGTCTCACCAGTGTTTCCTTCTTTTATGGTTTGCAGGTTGCTTATGGAACAACTGAGAATAGCCCAGTCACCTTCATGGGTTTCCCTCAAGACAACATTGCGCAGAAGACAGAGACCGTAGGATGCATTTTCCCACACACAGAGGTGACTGATCCCTTTGCCACGTCTTCTGGTATCACCCCTTCACAGTTTCCAGCTGGACCCCTCCCAAGCCTGTACTGTACACATTGTCTTCCTAATCGTCTCAGTTCTCCCCGCTTCTCCTAGCATCTCCCAGTTCTTAAGGCTTTGCTTTCCTCTGCATTACAGGCCAAAATTGAGGATCCTAATACAGGGGAAGTCCTCCCATTGAACAGCCCAGGAGAACTTCAGGTTCGAGGTTACTGTGTCATGCTGGGATATTGGGCAGACCCCAACAAAACTAGTGAAGTGTTGAATGATGAGAAGTGGTACAAGACTGGGTAAGTCGACAGGAAGCCATTGGTTCATTGGATAGGTCCAGTTATTCTGAAAGTGTGGTCCACAGAGACCCATCAAATTATTTGCCAGAGACTCCCCACATTCACCAGCCAGAGCTCACTCCCTGCCTCAGCCCCACCTCAAATAGGAAATAAATACTTAATTTGTTGGTTAAAACATTTAGTCAAGAAAGGCCTTTTCAGGTGAAAGGAATTGGAATGCATACACAAAACCATAATTGTTATTCTGTTCACTAAAAATGTGTACGCTCATGGTTTTATAGACAGAAACAAAGATTTTCAAAATCTTTATTTAACGTTAACACAGTTGGAGAAAGTTGGAGAAACAGACAGTCTTTAATCTAATGGGTTCTATCAATGGGTAGAATACTCTGTGGATGAAGAGGACTGAATAACTATCCCATGATAAATGCCAGGTGATTGACTTACTCCAATATTCATAAACAACAGACTTCATGAACATATGGCATTGTCCCATATGATGTATGTACGTATGCATGTGTGTGTGTGTACATACATATTATATATATGTATGTATGTATGTATGTATGTATACACACACATACACTACACACGCACACCTGTCCATCCATCCATCCATCCATCCATCCATCCATCCATCCATCCATCCATCCATCCCAAGGCTCTCTTTTATTTTGTTTCTGCAAGGAAGCTCTTGTCCACAACTAACAAGCCAGCAAGCAGATAGAGAGATGGTCCAGCACACTTTTTCTCTCTATCACTGTCTGCCTGGACCAAGTGATGGTCTTCTCATCTTCCCCTCAAAGAGGGTACTGATTATTCTTTATAATCTTTTATATTTACATCCAACTGCTGGAAGTTCTAGGGTTATTTTGTGATATATGCATGATTCCCAGCACTATCTTACTTTTCAACCAATACCAAGTTAGCTGAACATGTTCTGAATTGTTGTCCGGATACAATAATGGATTGAATGCGGGCTAACAGCAGACACACAATTCAGAAAATCTGTTAACAGATTAACTCATTTGGAAATGGGAATACATACTAACCTCTCTATCAGACACAAAGCTTGGCACCGTTCCTACATTCAGCATTGCTTCTGGATGCTCAGAGGCTAGTATGGCCAGGTATGCTTTGCTCAGCTCTGTTCCAGATGGTATCCTTTTCTGGAAAGATGAATTGATTTCCAGTGCTTTCCAAGTTACATTACAACTGTCTCACATTTGCTGGCCTTCAGTTCATTCCCAGGCCCAATTCAAAATGCTGC